TAAAGAAAATGAATTAAAAGAGTGAACTTGTTAGCCTACAAAATAAAATCATTAACAAACATCATGAAGAAATTAAACATGAAAATGTAAAAAAAAAAATACTGAACACTAAAAACAAAAATAGTATACATGATGATTAGAAGAAGGACTAACTAACCGTTTATTGCATACCTTCTTTAATAGTTTATAAGAGATGAAGTTGATGATCTCCATAGTTTTCCAAAATTTCGATGAAACTGAAACAAATTTCGATCAAGTCAATGGTAGTGATACATCCTCATGATCGTCTCTCATACATACATGCATAAATAGACAAATAATAATATGTTAGAAACGACAAAGCTTCATAAAATTATAAACAATAACAATATAAAGAAATATGAACTAAAAACGAAATTAGAGGTTTGGCGGAATGAATATTTTGATTAGTGGAATAGCATGATCTTATATATATAGTGAAGTAGACCGTGCTGGTTTAGGGTTTTCAAGAGGAATATTCTGTTTATCTTGCTTTAAATGTTTTTAATTATTTACGTTTTAAGAAAATTTTATAGTTAATTCTTTTTGTAAACTTGTCGAAGAATTATTAATACTCAAATCGTAAAGATATTTATGAGAGTATCTTTCTATTGTATATTCATTACATTTATATATTTATTGTTACGATCTATTTTAAGTAATCTATATTTATGTCAAAGAATAAAAATTAATTTTTTGCTAAACTGATTCGAAATTGATTTTCAAATGATTATTCTTTCCAAAATCTTAACTAAAGATTTGAGCATTAAACGTTTTTAAAGTAATGATATATAGAGTAATTGGTTTCTTTAAAATCGAGATTTACGCAAGATTTTAGGAACAATAGATGAGATAAGGTATGTGATAGTAATTAGTTTAGATTGTGGAAATATTCGAAATCAATTAGAGATAAAATTTATTACGGTATGATTAATGTGGCTATTAGTTTAGGTAATATTAACAAAATTTATTCTGCGATTTATGATTGGCCAAATAAGGGATTAAAATTATTACAAACTTCCTAAAATTTTTTATCCAAGATCCGGATAGAGTTAAACCCAGGTAAAACCCGGATCCAAATGAATTAATGCAAAAAAAACCTGTAAAAATGTATATGTAGATTGTTATTTTGATTTTAAATTTATTGCAATTTAAATGGGCAATTTCCTATATTTAATCTGTTATTGTAAAAGAAAAATGACATAGCTTATTATTAGAATATTAAACAAATTTATTAACATAATATATATATATATATATATATATACTGTTAAAAAAATAAATACGTTTTTTTCTTTATAATTTCATAATATATGTATATATTGTTAAAATCTGGACATTTATTTTGAGCATAAATATGAAAACGATTTTCCATTAAAATCGGCTATTTATTAGGGTCATTAATATGAAAGATATTAAGACAACATGACTTCATTTATTAGTTTGAAATTAAGACAACATCCCTTAAATTGCTAATCCAAGATCCGAATAGATTAAAACCCGGATCAAACCCGGATCCAAAAAAATTAAAGCAAAAAAGTACTATAAAAATGTATATGTAGATTAATACTTTTAATTAAGATCCAAAAAACTTAGCTTAGTTTTTTGGACCCAAGTTCGGCCATGAAATATTATACACCATGTAAATTACGTTGTGACTTGACTCTTTCATTTATTGTAAATGTGTGTGTATTCTTAAGACAATTTTATAATAGGTATCGAACTAAATGTGTATAGTTTCGTATATATATATATATATATATATATAAATAGCTTAGCCAAAGGGTACTGAGATTCGATGCTCTTGCTTTTTATTAATCTAACAACGAGGGTGTAGAGATACACTAAGAATTCAATTATGATTGTAGAAATAAACCATCTTTGATTTGATCGAATCATATTCCTTTTCTCTTCTTGAAATCTATTTCCCATTCCCTAATTTTTTAGTTTATAAATATTCCATCTATTAACAAAGAAAATAATTATCGTTTTTACGTTATTTTTTTTTGTTTTCTTCTAAATTTCAACTTTCTTTACGGATTTTGGGACGAAAAACCTCCACCAGTCAATATATGTCCCGTATTTGCTATCTCATATTTATTCTAATAAAAATACCTACTTGAGAATGTTTTATTTAGTCTCATCGGTATAGGAACATGTAAGATATAGAAATGAATACATCTAAATCAGAATTATCCATTTAGATATTACATTCGGATAACTTTAATAATGTTTTGTTTCGCCCATTTTTGATATCTTGTGCTTAGCTTCTTAATACTTTTTTCACTTATTTTGATACTCTATTGCCTAATCCAATATTCTAAATATCCTCTTTGTTGTTCAAATAGCCAACTAATTGCCCAACTTGGTGCCTTGATATATATATAGATTAAAGTCTACGATAAATCCGAGTACTATCACTTGATCATTCGATACCTAAAGTGTATACACGATCGAATGATCAACTCGATCGTGTATACATGTACTTTATTATTGTTCCATCTCTGAAACGAAGAATATCATTTTAGTTAATTTTTGTTTTTCACATCTCAACTGTAGGCATTATTCATCTCTTTTTATTTTTCCCCTCTCGCTGTTGGTAGTTTGTTGTTGTTAGTCTCATTACTTTATTAACCGTTCACCAAAAATAGCTCTACATAATTTATGGGCCTAAATTTACGGTAGCCCATTAGAGGAGCTCAACTTCCACTTTCAGCCTATTAAAACTAAACTGACAATAACGTCTCCCACGTGTCTAATAATACGGCAACGAGCGTCTTATCAAAAACTCAACCAATACGATGACTTTGGTCCGAAAGAGACTTCACACCAACACCAATTATGAAGCTTTTGGGCAATTAAGGTCTGAGTCAAGTAAACGTCTTTAACGCACTTACGCAAAAACCCATTTCATCGAAATTTCCACTGACGTTAATCCCAACAACCACCAATTCAATCCATTTCTCAATCTCTTTTATCATCTCTAACACACCCATCCTACCTACCTCTGAAACAGAACAGAGCACACAAATGGATTCTGCATCGTCCAAGACCAAAGCTATAGACCCTCCTCTTCACATGTTAGGTTTCGAGTTCGATGAATTATCTCCAACACGTGTAACAGGTCGTCTTCCCGTTTCTCCAACCTGTTGCCAGGTTTCTTCTTCTTCTTCTCCATCTCTTCTTTTTTCTTCTAATTGACCCTTTTATCTCCAAATTCTGAGAATGTTTTTCAATTTCCTCTCAAAAGCCTTTCAAGGTGTTACATGGTGGTGTATCTGCTTTGATCGCTGAGTCTTTAGCAAGTACGGGAGCTCACATGGCTTCTGGTTTCAAAAGGGTCGCTGGAATCCAACTCTCAATCAACCATTTGAAGAGTGCTGATCTCGGAGACCTTGTCTTCGCCGAAGCAACTCCTGTAAGCACAGGGAAGACTATTCAGGTTTGGGAAGTCAAGTTATGGAAAACAACAGAGAAAGATAAAGCTAACAAAATCTTAATATCTTCCTCTAGGGTTACACTTATCTGTAATCTTCCTATCCCTGATAACGCCAAAGATGCAGCAAACATGCTCAGAATGATCGCAAAGTTGTAGATTTTTTCAGGCTTTTTTGTTTTACTTGTATGTATCATTCATCTTCTGAAAATTGATAAATAAGCTTAAAGAGGCAAAGATAGTGATACCAAAATGTCTAGGATTTGTGAATGTTACCTTGTTTTTGCAACAGAATCTCATCTTCTGTCTTAAACAGGAGACCAACTTTGTCTGTCCTTGATCAAGAATGTACCATTTTTCAATAGTCCAAACTGGCAATGATAATTGGCAAGATCAGCATTCTTCTTCTGGGAATCGTTTGACCTGTAAGAAAGATGATGACTTTAGTATCATGTGCTTCCATCAGATTTGTTAGGACAGCTTCTAATTGCAGACACAAGAAATGGTAGGAGCTCTAATGCTTGTCGGGTGTAGCATATGCAGGGCCACCACCACAAGTCCTGTGCCTTTTGTGATAAATAAGAAACAGGCAATAAGCATATTGAGCATGATAAAATAGAGATATCTGTCTAACTGAGTCTAATAAGCAGTTTGGTGAGTTTCATGTCTAAGGGACATCACAGTCTCTTCTGATTACAGACTTAAGACGGAGTTTTTGCATTGCTTCAAGAAAAATGGCAAGAAATTATAGAAACAGAGTTTAAAAAGATGCAACTTTGATCCCTACTTAGGGGATTAGGGCTAACGAGTAACGCAAGAATGAAAACAAAATCTCAGCGAGCAAAAGAAAAAAAATGGATACAATAGTCTGCGATTATCTACTGAGTGAAGAAGAAGAACCAATTCGTCAATTTTGTTTAATTTAGCGGTTTTTACCATTGGGGGATGAAGAAGACGAGAGAGAGAAGTCCCAAATAGACGAAATTGAAGCTCCGAATCTCCATGTCGCGCTTTCAACACTCTATCATCATCTTCGATTTCTGTCTCAATCATCGAGTTCGTCGCGATCGTCGTCTCTGAGCAACTCCGGCGAACTTTAGTAAGTCTCTTTTTCTAATTAGGATGCTCAATCCGGTTAAAGCCAAAATCAATTTGAAAATCAAACCGATCAATTTAAACCACAATTATTTCTTCAGAAAGAACCGAAACCGTATCCGTTTTCATCCGGTTAGTGGATCCATAAACCGAATTATTGGAACCGGAGTTGTCGTAACTGTTGCCCTTGTCAGGCCCGGCTCGATTAAAATATTGACCGGTGCTCAATAATTTTAGAAACAAAAAAGTGGTGTATATAATATCATTCATAAAATTTGGGTATTTTCTAAAAAGTTTTTTTTTATAAAAATTGGGCCTTAAATACTAAAGAAAAATGTCAAATTTAAAATGGACCTTGTTCTAGTGCTCCAGTTGCACACCTCTATAACCGGGCCTGGCCCTTGTCATCATCTAAAAAGCTCTGAAACGGTGACGTTTGGCATGTAAAAACTTTGAAAAGGGAAAGATTTGAGAAGAGAGATTCCGCCATTGAAGAAGGAGAAGAAGTGGAGAGCGAAGATCAAAATGGATGACTGGGATGATTTGACTGTCGAAGAGATGGATGCTATTGAAAAAGAAGCTCTTCAGAGAATCAACCAGCAACGCAATTCCTCTTCTTCTTCTTCCTTGCCAATTCCCAACGAGGTTTTACACTTGCGCAATTTCCATCTCTTTCCCTATCCCTCTGGGTTTTGACCTAATTAGGTTTTCTTGCGGGCGATTTCTGATGGCTTCGAGTATTTGTAATAGACAATTTTGCTTCTAATTAGCCCTTATATGTCTGTGTGTGTTCTTATTGTCAGGTTCATGCTTCGTCTCAAGGAGCCAGAATCTTACCTTCAACTCTCGCCCCTAAACCAAACACTGGTCAGTTGATTTTTCCAGTAGCATTCGTCTGTTTTAATGAGATGATCTTTGTTCACGTTTACTGTATTAATGGTGAGGCTAGTCTCTGTGCCAAAAGATGCGGGCTTTAAGCCACAGGAGCAAAAGGTCTCTGTCAAAATTTTCCTTCATCATAGTGGAGTTCTTGCTGCAAAGTTCCCATATAACCAGGTAAACATATCAGAAGTCACAAGTCTTTATGGGGAAATGCTTGCTAGTTTTGTCTTTGACACTTCTTTTGCCAGGTGGTGGTAGATGCTGTGCGTAAAATCCCTAAGGCTATTTGGAATGCTAAAGAAAGGTTTGCCTTTTTATACTATTTCATATACATGAGTCATTTGTTTCTCTCTGTCTTTCTTATTTCTAACATGCTATGTTGTGATCTGTAAACAAAGCAGCTAAATAACCCTTGGCTTGTCTATTCTCTTGTGAAAGTCCAGGTTATGGACCTTTCCTCATTCTTCACTGTCATCAGCAGAAAATATTCTACGAGAAATTTCCAGCGTTAAAGTTGAGGTAAGCCACCTTGATTCTTTGAAAATGGTTCACAAAGTTCAGGGTCAAGCGTTTCTTAGATATATTGCTATCTGTTTTTTTCCTTTGAACTATCAGATAGAGAACTTAGATCCTCTTGTGCAACGTGCAATAGCTTCTGCCTCAAGAGGTCCAGATCTACGGCGTAAGTCAGGCATCCTGTTTATTACCTCATAAACATTAGTGACGTGATTTTAACTAAAGATATGTTTTTTAACCCCTTTTTATGGGATTTTCATGTCTTACTATCTCTTGTTTTCTGATTTCCCTAGATCTGTATGAAAAGATACCAAGCCATATTGAGCCAAAGCTTCTTCCATTTCAGCGAGAAGGGATAGAGTATGTCAGCCATATGTTGTACCTGTGATTCTTCTTTATTACCAAATGGATAGTAACTTGTTTGCCTTTTGGCGGCCTGGTAACTGTTCTTTTGCTTCATGATCGGTTTCTGCCTTTCTTGAAGGTTTATTTTACAGCATGGAGGACGTGTGCTCCTAGCAGATGAAATGGGTCTTGGAAAGACTTTGCAGGCAAGTGATTTCCTGTTTCATATGCCTCTATATATCTTTTCATTTCTTGATTTCTGAGAATTACTCCCCTTTCGTTGAAGAAGATATCTATTGTCACTTGTGAATAGATCTCTTCGACATTGTTATACATATATTGTATAGTTCGTCTAACAAGGATGTCTCCTTGCAAAACCAGCGAGAAACTAATTTTGGAGATTTGCTTGTATCATCTTCTTACATCAATCTCATTTTACACATCCATTGTCTAGCAGGCAATTGCTGTGACAACATGCGTTCATGAATCTTGGCCAGTTCTGATTATTGCACCATCTTCATTACGTTTACATTGGGCAACAGTAAGATCATTATATTTAATCTTTTCTTGGATGTTGTTTCTGTCACTTGAGATGATCATAATGTTGCTTTTTTGCAGATGATTCACCAATGGCTGCATGTACCTCCGTCAGACATAGTTGTATGTAGTTTAGTTCTTGTATATGCTTGTAATTTGAATATATCCATTTTATATTATTTTCTCTCTCATCTAAGTTATCCTTTTAGTAGGTAGTTTTACCTCAACCAGGTGGTTCAAACAAGTGCGGTTATACTATAGTTTCCTCAAATACAAAGGGCACAATCCATCTTGATGGTGTCTTCAATATTGTTTCCTATGATGTGGTCACTAAGCTGGACAAACTCCTAATGGCGTTGGACTTTAAGGTTAGACATTGCTTTGTACAGATTTTTTGGTTGATTGTTCCCGATATCTAGAATTATAATGATCACGTTGGTTACCAATTAATCATGGGAGATTGAGATTCTTGAATTTTAAGAGGAGAAGCTATGTTAAGGAATGGAGAGGAAAGAGGCATTTATAGATTCTGGGCTCCGTAACTTGCAAAAAAAGCTTTTTGTGTTTGTCTCAAGTATTTGAGGTTTCACTACGGACAGTCCTTCTTGGCAGGTTGTTATTGCAGACGAATCACATTATCTTAAAAACGCTCAAGCAAAGAGGACCAGTGCTTGCCTTCCAGTCATAAAGGTATTATTATATCATTTACTCATCGTTTTGCCTACCAAGCTAGCTTTAGGTTCTCGGTTAACGAAAATTGAAAATCAGTTTTTTTCGTAGTGCAACTGTGATACTTTTGTTACATAGTCAACGAGTAATATCCTCGTGGTTATTTCTATTCTATTAAAATCTATACCTCATGCATTTGTTTCAGAAAGCTCAATATGCAATCCTTCTGAGTGGAACCCCTGCATTATCTAGACCGATAGAGCTATTCAAACAGGTGATCCTTCCATTTTACTAGTCCACATTTTTTACTTGGATATGTGAGGGGCCTGTGTATCTGTGGATGTAGTTTGACTAACTAAAAATCTGTCGTTCTTTACTCTTGAGTCTTGACAGCTGGAAGCTCTATACCCAGATGTTTATAGAAATGTTCATGAATATGGTAGCAGATACTGCAAAGGCGTAAGTTCATTGCACATTGATAAACTGCCTAGAATTTCATGTAGGGTAGTTACTATGCATCATAAAATTTTATACTTTGCTATTAAAATTTTCAGGGATTTTTTGGAGCATATCAAGGCGCAAGCAATCATGAAGAGTTGCACAATTTGATGAAGGCAACAGTGATGATTCGAAGACTTAAAAAGGATGTCTTGACTGAACTTCCGTCAAAGCGCAGGCAGCAGGTTATTAGTCTTAGCTCTTTCTCTTATGTCCATGCATCTATGTGATATCATTTAGTACTTGTTGTCAATTTCGTTTGACCTTATTATTTTTATCTTGATTAAATAGGTCTTCCTAGATTTAGCTGAAAAGGATATGAAGCAAATCAATGCTTTGTTTCATGAGGTAACTTGGTTTAGTCTTCAATATCCATACAATTTACCTTACGTGAAGAAACTTTTTTGAGAAAAGGAATGATCTTTGTTTTCTCTTTTACAGTTAAGGGTGGTAAAGTCAAAAATTAAGGATTGTGTATCGGAAGATGACATTAAATCTCTTAAATTTACAGAGAAGAACCTTATCAACAAGGTATTTGTTTGCTTTTTCCGAATTATTTCTTCTCAACTAAACAATCGAAGGATTTTTGATATATTTGTGTGCACTTTTTCTTGCTAATATGTGTTCTTCTTTTATTTCATTGGACCTGCTTGTTATTTCCTAGTTTCTTATAGAATCTCCTCGTTTTGTATTTTAGATCTACACTGATTCCGCTGGGGCCAAAATCCCAGCAGTGCTTGATTATCTGGGAACTGTGCTTGAGGTAATAGCTATTAGCAATAAGATATTTTAAAACTTTCTCATTACATTCTGATACCTGTTCGTGTGCTTTCTCCTCGAGCACTGTAATGCAGGCTGGCTGCAAATTTCTGGTATTTGCCCATCATCAGTCCATGCTTGATGCAATACACCAGTTTCTTAAAGTAAGGCATTGAACTATCAGCAAAGCTTCCAAAAGCCCGTCTGTTTCTCATACAATATACAAAAAAACAAAATTGCAGAAAAAGAAAGTGGGCTGCATCCGGATTGATGGTAGCACCCCTGCCTCCTCTAGACAAGCCTTGGTTTCTGACTTTCAGGATAAGGATGAGATAAAAGCTGCTGTGGTAAGTATTTTCACCATAACAAAGTTTCCTACCCTTTCTCTTACTATATTCCACTATTCAAGGCAATATAATTTTTCATATTAACTAGATATGGATATTCTGTACTGTGAAACTTGCAAGTCACAAAGAGAAGTAATATAAGAGACGAATTTTATACTTAAATCGTATGTTAAGCCTTTCTTTTCAATCTTCTAGTCCTTATTTTTTTTTGTTTACATGGATTTGCAGCTGTCAATACGAGCTGCTGGTGTTGGGATAACATTGACAGCAGCAAGCACTGTTATCTTTGCAGAGTTGGCATGGACTCCGGGTGACCTGATTCAGGCAGAAGATCGTGCACATAGGATTGGTCAGGTGAGTCATGAACAATTTTAGTGGAGTTACAAATCAGAATCGCTCCCTTATATACCACTAATCATTTGCAATGTTTTTTCGAAACTCTTTTTATGACTTTTGCTTCATATCTACAGGTCTCTTCAGTTAACATACACTATCTTTTAGCAAATGACACTGTTGACGACATCATCTGGTTTTCTCTCATTCACATTTACCGTTGAAAGTTCAATGATTTCTCAAAATTATGTTCTTCACTGCTGAATTCTTCTAAACTTGCTTACTTTCTGTGTAGGGATGTTGTTCAGAGCAAGCTGGATAATCTAGGACAGGTATACTCTTTCTCAATGTCACGCCAGATTGAGAGAAAATCTCTTGGTGTCATATACATATCCATTATTATGAGGAGTGCAGTACGGCTTTTACTATAATTACTGAATATCAAAGTCCAAATACTGGAGTGTGTAGTGATTCATGAAAAATTAGATGTTTGATTGTCATCGCCATAGACTGTCCTGAATTTACGCATGGTTATTGCCTTTTCTGATTGCTGGAAACTAAGCTTGTGACCAATTTGCAAAACAGATGCTTGATGGGCAAGAGAATGCTTTGGAGGTTTCATCTAGTCATATGATGAGCAGTCCAACAAAACCAAGAAACAGCCCCACAAAGCAGCAAACTCTAGAGCCGTTCTTGAAACGCTGCAAAAAATTAGACGACGATACCGAGGAACATCAACCCAGGCCCAAAGTTCCCAGACACTGAAACTAAAAACGTGTGTATTAGCGACTATGGGTAAAATGATCATTTGTAATAGTTTGGTGCAAACAAATGGTCTTTAGTAGTGTAGCTTCTAGATAATTGATCGTTAGGGCTTGTATCTTATAGATGTTTCTGATTAAGCTGATCTTTACAGGTCTTAACGCAAAAGATTTATATCAACGTTTATTTATTTCAACGTTTCCAGAAGACAGATATCTACAATGAGAGAAAGCACCACACTATATATCACTTTTAAGTCATTTTTAAACACTTCAATGTGAGACATAACCGAGTCCCTCCCTGCTACATTCTTCATCAAAGAAACTTGTCACGATAGTTTCCACATCCTGCAATCCAACTCCTACACAAACGGTCTTGGACGGTGTCCTAACTGAATCAGTCATCACACTATCAGTCTCGTTGACGACTCTAACGTTTGGACCATCACGACACTTCCCCATGCACTTGCAAGCCACAGCGGAACCTTGGAAACCCGTCATCGCCCTTTGGAACTCATCCAACAACAAAGCTCCTCCTGATTTCTTACACTTCCCTCCCATACATACTTCTACTCTCTTCAATGGTAATCCAACCACTGAAACCGCTTCTACCGTCTTCAATGTCTGTACAGGATTGGGCATTGAGGGAAATACTGTGGATGTTTGCAGAGCAATCTGCAATGCTTCACTGGTGTTCTTGCAAGATTGTGCATCTTCTTGGATTCTAGGAAGGGTTGCTACTGTGGCTTCTGGTTGTAACGGCTCAAGAACCGGTTTAGTCTTGTTTCTGAGAGAGCTCATGTCAACAACTTTGCCTTTATCACGATCACTATCACTTGATTCAGAGGAAGAAGATGATTCAGAGTCCATTTCAGTCATCTTCTTCATAGCTTTGGCTTTTGCCTTTTCTTCTTTCCTCTGTTTCTTCAATAGCTTCTCCTCTGCTTTCAACTGCTCCAGCTGCTTAACCAATATCTCTGTTGCTTCCTGCATAAATCAAAAACCAATCAAAGATCTAGTCTTAACACATCAATTTCACCATGAAAAAGTCAAAATCAAAAATTCTTACCGAGATTGTCTTGGTCTGAATCTCACCAACCAAACCAGCTTCAGGATCAAGACCAAACCCTATACTTGAGAACATATTCAAGTTCTTAGAAAGACTTTTAAGAACCTTTTCCTTCTTCTTCAACGCCTTCTTCTCCTTCTCCATAACCTTAACCTTTTCTTTCTCCTCGCCGCATCTCGTTGGCTCGATATAGTAACTCATGTGCCCTTTATCCGCAAACTCATTATTACACACAATCCCACGAAATTTCTTGGTTCGAAACCCTACCGTTCTCGTATTACCGGAAAACTCCGACACTAATCGGAGACAGGCAACAGAACCTGAAGAAACACATGGAATTTGTCGGAGAACGACGCCGGAAACTTCCATTATCGAAATTGAAAGGTTGAATCAATGGAACTTGATGACTTGAGCCTTAAGCGATTACGATAAATTATACAAAATCCTTAAGGCTAAGTTCCTTGTTGAGGGAGATTTGCCAGTTCTTTTACAGGAGAGAAATTAACAGTGAGAGGTTACGTGGCGTGTTTTGGTTGGTTAAATGTGTCGTGAGTTGCACTCAGGCTCCCCACCTGTGGTCTCACGAGTTCCACACTTTCCCGCGCTCTTGACACGCGCCTTGTGATCAATCTCAACCGTTGATTAAAAGTTTGGTTAAGATGAACGGTCTAAAGTGGCGACAAGGGTACATGTCGGATTGCCACGTGGAGAATCTAGTGGAAACTTTGCCACGTTGTAATAATTTCGGGAGCGGTAAGATGTTTTTATAAACCAAAACTTGTACACTAGCATATGCCACTTATACACTAGCATCATTAAAGCTTGTATTTTGGAATTTTTAGGGAACTTGTGTTTTTGTTTTTCTTTTTTGATAAAGTATTGTAGGCAACTTGATACGAATATTTTTAGTTATTTTCTTATTGAGATAATTTCAAATTAAGTTTTAAATTTTTTTAAAAATATATATAGTTTTATCAAAAAAAAAAAAGAAAGACATGTAGTTTAATTATTTTTGACATTTTGAAGCAAGTAGTAACCACTAACCATGCCTGTTGGTTAAAATATTAGGATTAATACTTTAATAGGATAAAGTGATAAACAATAGACTAAATGATAAGATACTACTCCATTATTTTATTTTATTTTTCACTCCATTATCTCTAATCTAAAATCCTTAATAGTATAAATGACTTTATTGTTGGGTTAGGTATTGTTGGGATGGTAACCCATAAAAGTGGAGGGGATCACGCTTCACGCAACCTCTCACTTTGTGTGATATCTCATGAAACAATAAAAGACATTTAATTCTATTTTCGCCCTAATAATTAGGCATGGACAAATAAACCGAACCGAATGTACCAAACCGAAACTGAAACAAAAAAAAATTTAAGCGAACCGAACCGAAAATTTGAAAATAACCAAATAAATACTAAATTCTATAACGAAATAAGCCGTAACCGAATCGGTACCGAACCGAAATATTTCGGATAACTGAAAATATCCGAAATACAATTATATTTACCAAATAATCAAAAATACTGGAAAAATATATAAAATAGTAAATATATTCGAAAATAACCGAAAAATATCCAAAAATATCCTGAAATACCCAAAAATGACTGAAATATCCGAAAATATCCAAAACAAAATAACCGAATATATACTAAATTTTAAAACCGAAAGAACCAGAACCGAACCGAAATCGAACAGAAATTTCAAAGTATCCGAATGGATACTAAATTTTAGAACCGAAACCGAATGGAACCAAACCGATAACCGATTGGATAACCGAACGCCCATGACAGTAGTAATAATCACTCCTGCACAGCCGTCGGATCTTAAATTACTTACTTTCTCTTGACCCAGCTCTTTGGGCCTCACAAAGAAGATAAGATGCTTTTGAAACTAAGCCCAAAATTCGAGAAAGACTACAGGAGACGGAAAGAACGTGCGTATAGGCATTGATAACGTTGTTGATTCACATCCTCCAAGGCCTTTCATCACAAAGCCAGAATGTGAACATTTGGTCTTGCATTCCTTAATTGAAACCAATGGGTATTCTCGTCGATGGGATACACTAAAGATTAGTGAAGTCATAGACCACAGTGACCAAGCGATTATTAGCGGCATATATCTTGCGAGAGAGTCTAAGCAGGACAAATTAATTTGGAATTATAACACTTCAGGGGAATATACAGTTCGGTCCGGTTACTGGTTTCTAACACATGATCCTTATGATGGTAATAACTTGCTAAACAGACCCCATGGTTCAGTTGAGTTGAAAAACAAAATTTGGAAACTTCCAATTATGCCAAAGATAAAGCACTTTCTTTGGAGACTTCTATCTAAAGCCCTAGCTACAACCGAACGGTTAACCTCTAGAGGAATGAGCATTGATCCGATCTGCCCCCGCTGTCGGCGGGAGAATGAAACAATAAACCATGCTCTGTTTACATGTCCTTCTTCTACCATGATTTGGCGATTGTCCAACATATTTTTTTCAAGGACCCACACAATGTCAGAAGATATTGAAGAGAATATCTCCAATTTCTTGAATCTTCTTCAGCATAATCATATGACAGAAAAGCAAAAACTTCTCCCTTTTTGGTTACTCTGGCGAATCTGGAAATCAAGAAATAATTTGGTTTTTAACAACTACCGGGAAAGCGTTTCAAAAATAGTAACACAAGCACGGGCTGAAACAAAAGAATGGATAGAAAACACTCGGAAACAGGGACGATCATCACAGGCACAACCTCGACCCACTTCTGTTACTGGTTTATGGACAGCTCCTACACAACCATACGTGAAATGTAACTTTGATGCGGGTTTTAACTTACAACATCTACAAGCAACAGGGGGATGGATTATCCGAGATTATCGCGGTTTTTCACAAAGTTGGGGAGCATTGGTTCTAGATAATGTGGGATCTCCACTGGAGGCGGAGGCAAAGGCTTTATTGGCGGCGTTACAACAATCGTGGATCCGGGGCTACACAAATGTGATTTTTGAGGGAGACTGCGAAATTCTTATCAACTTGGTCAATGGTGCTATGGGACATCCTTCTCTTACAAATCACTTATTGGATATTCGTTTCTGGACTTCAAAATTTACAAGTTCTCAGTTTAAATTTGTTAAAAGGGAGGGTAATCAATCTGCTCATGTATTAGCTAAATTTGGTTGTAATTCATCACCTTTTTATACAGATTCTGTTTCCCAGCCATTGTGGCTTGAAAGACAAGTTTGTAATGACATTCAACATCTAATTTAATTTTATTTTGACGAAAAAAAAAAAAGACTACAGAAAGTGGAGGACATTACACTACAAGAAAATCAAGCATTGATAGCGTCCAAAAAACGCTATTTATCGCAAGCGTAACGTATTTAGAAACGCTATATCATCGACCGTGACAATAGGTCGGCGACTTTAAATAGCGCTTTTTGTATGTGCTATCTAAATTAAAATATTAATAGCGGATTTATCTCTGCTATCGTATACTCTATAATAACATTTCAATTTTGTTATCAAATCTATTATTCATAATATGTGGATTTGAATTTTGCATTTTGAATTTTATTAATAGGAGCTCTAATTTAATTTACAAACACCCAAAACAATCAATAATAATAATAATAATAATTTTTATTAAGAGACCAAAAGAATTTGTATTTAATGAAGAACAACAATACATACCACAATTTTTTTCTACTTAGAAACTTCTAAAGATACATATATTCATTAAGGCGTATTCACAATCTTGATTCCTCCAACTCCAGTTGACTACAACACGGCACATCACCATTGCATAAAACGCATCCTGTAAAACCAATTCATCACATATGGACAAGGATAAAATCAAAAACAGAAACAAAACAGCTAAGAACAGCCATCGAGGTCAAGAGAGTGTGTATATACCCAAAACAGATCAAACAAGAGAGTGTGAACTTATCACCAACAGCAAATTGATAAACCTCTGTGTTAACCTCTAAATGCATAAACATTTCCAAGTTGTGGCTCGTAGCTTGAAAGCGAGTAACTGTAACAACAAACACACACATTCCCACAACAAAAATCATTGTAGGTTTAAGAGAAAGCCACCTAATCTGAAGACAAAACAAAATTTCGCGAGACTAAAAACTTAAAAAGTTGAGATTTTTCCACAAAACTCAGACCAAAAAAGGATAACCGTAAGAACTCATTAATTAATACATAAACAAACGTTGATTGAAGCCATAAGAAAGCACTAGAAATCGTGAGTGAGGTTAATAAAGTATATACCTTAATCAAACTTTTTGCCATCAGGGTCTAGCTTGTCGACAGTGAAAATATCCTTTGATAAGATGATATTGCTCGCCACCTGCAAACAAGGAAACCCACTAATTAAAATCTTAATTCCTTGATAAAAACCCGACTTGACCAGCAAATCAATCCAGAACTATATGAACATATAGTGAAATAAAGAAGCCGAACTCTAAAATTGACCCATAAAGAACCAATCGCTGAGAAATGTAAATATTATGATGATAACATATATCAAAAGTGAGTAAACGGGATAAACAAGCTCTTAATCACTGTAAAGACTAGGGTTTAGGAATTTTAGATTTGGAATTAAAGAAATAGCAAACCTGGACTTCACGGTCCGCGAGAGGTAAGAAATAGGAGTCGAGCATATATTCGGAGAAAGCGGAGATGGTAGGTCAACGGGTGCTCCAGCTTTGACAAGGATGATGACAGATCTAGGCTGATAGATCCATAAAACAAAATTGGAGGAGAGTATTGACCAGCGACTAGGAAAGGTCCTTGTTGAGAGGTAAGATCTAGGGTTCGGTTGTAGACTTAGATGGAGAATCCTTTGTCAGCGGCGAGGTTAGGGTTTAGGAGGAAGGACAATTTTCTTACCGCCTCGACCGGCTATGGGATATATACCGTGAAAGAAGAGAGAAGGAGAGGAGAACAAAAGTCGAAAGAGAGAGCAAAGCAAACGGGAAGAAGAAATTAATCTCTGAAATCAAAACCGGATGGAACAGAGCCAAGGGGGAAAATGTCGAAGGTTAAAGAGCAAAAGGAAAAGCAATTAGGTCGAATAAATTTTTAATTGGAGCCCAGATTTTAGTCTATTACTTTTTCGTTGGAGCCCAAATTTTTTACATTGGCGGCAATGAATAATTTCTTTCCCGCTAATCCTTCCACAACGTTTTTATATGTTTTGTGCTATTACAGACCATGTTTACAAAACTAAAAAGTTAAAAAAATTTATACGGAATGACATCATAGCGTTTATAAATTTAAAACGCTATAGAAAAGTTAGACGTAAGTCAACTATAGCATAACTATACAAAACGCTATCTTCCAATGCTATTAAAAATCAATATTCTTGTAGTGTTAACACACCCATGAAATTGGTAAATTAGAGAAAGGGTATATGATTCTAACAAGCGTGTGATTTCTGTATTTATAGCTTAAAATTTATTTGAGTAATTCATTGGAGGTATACATTTTAACATTGTTACTACTTACTAGGTACTAATCCGCGGTATACCGCGGAACTATATCTTATTTTTGGTTTTGATTATAGTATTAATCTTAATTATCTTTACGCGATTGTAATCTTATGGTGTTCGTTTCAAATATTCAAAATTTATGATTCCCCCTCAAATCTTTAACTAAGTTTCCTTTGTTAAGACACAATTAGACAATCTTATGATGTTTTTACCTAAATTGATATTTTATGGGAATGACTCTTATCAAAAAAGAATATACGGTTGTCAACTTTATAGCTAAACACGCACACGTAGTATATCTGACTAAAGCGAACATACCTTAAACTGTTTAAGTTTATTCAAAATTGATAAAACTATTAATTACGGCTTCTTAATTTGATAATGTCTTGACCACCAAGATATTTCTCAAGATATTCATTTTTTCGCATTCACCCTAAACCTACTTATTATCTAGTATGAAAACAAAAGATTAGGTGAGGAAACAAAAATTGCTCAGAGAGGAAAAGAGAGGAAAGTGCTCTGAGAGTGATAATACAGAAAACTTCACCAATTCAACAAGAACAAAGTGACAAACTAAATCAACACTTCAATTCCAAAGTTAACCAAACAACGTTCATGAAACGCAGCTTCGATCATTATCTAGGTCTCTAGATGAGAGAACCTAACAACAGAAAGAGATTCAAAGAAGAAGATAACAAACGTTTACAATTTTTCTGATTATTTTCTGCAATTGATCTCGAGCCTCTTTATATCTTGCTCTTGCTCTCATCTTCCTTCAGTCAATTAAATTCTGCCAACGCATCATTCACGCCTCCACCAATCATCTTCCTTCATTCTTCCACGTCAGCCACTCTTCCATTTTTCTGTATCAAGTGATTTAATACCTAAAGAACAAAGAGAAGAGGAATCACGATCTTCCGCGGGAAACGCTCGATGAGATCGAGAGAAATGCACATAACCGTAATCAATATACGACTTTTTATTGGATTTTGTGATTGAAAGTAAAAACCCAAAAGATTTAACTGAATTCATAATAAAAAGGTGAATTAGAAAGCAAGAATTTCTGGTTCAGCGAGAACCCTAGGTTTTTCATAAGATGTTTTTTCCGTATTCATTTATATACTAAAACCTTTATAAATTAAACTTTTAATAAATATTAATTTATAGAATTATTTGTGTAAGAATTTTTTTTCAAAAAATTAGAGAAATACAGTATTGTTTTATGATCGACTAATTTGTTCACTTTTTCTATTTCAAGAATCTACAATAATTTTACCACAGACATTCACACACAACAAAAAGTACAGAATGGTAAAATATTTTAAATTTAACTACTTGATACACCCTAATTCACTATTTGGAATCTATAACAAAAGATTTTCTTAATATAATTTCCTTCTTTTTATCCGTTCAAATAATATACTAATTAGGATACCCGAAAAGAATAATTTATAAAATGTTTATGATTTATGTAGCTCAAAATTTAATTGAGTAATTCATTGGAGGAACATTTTAGATTCACTTTAACATTATTATTACGTGGGACACAACATTTACTGACTCAACCAAACACTATTAACACAAATAACGAATTTATAGCCAAAACCAAAGGCCATATGCCTCACATTTCTCTGATTACTTTTCTACGACGGAGTTCCGGCCATATTCCCCCGTGCCAGCCGGAGATGACTCGGAACGCGTTGCTTAATCTCTTCTAATGCACACAATGTCTCTGGATCGAGCCCTCCCGCAAACTGAATAAACATGTAAAAGATCAAAATGTCAAGCACCAATGCACCGTGTTCGATCCGGGCATATGCTTTTATATATTAAGATTACCTGATGCGTTCTGTAAGCAAATCGGACGCCTTGAAGAAGCAATGCTTCTTGAGTAGACTCTCTATCCAAGTTACGAGCTGATTGTAGCTCATTCGCTACTCTATTCATGTAAGTTCTAGCAAGCTTGATCGATGCTCTTTTGATCTATTACCAGAAGTAGAACAATGTTAAACAGAGGACAAACAGAGTGTAATCGACTATTTACTTAGATACAAAACAAAGCTCATATGAAGAAAACAATACCTTGCTTATCATTCCCGAGTCAAGCATCCACTCGACTGGGATCTTAAAGTCTTGGTAAGAACGCATGGATGAGCCACGTAATCTGACTAGCCTCCTTATCCTCTGCTCCGACCTTATCATAACCGAGATTTTAAATTTTTTAACATTTTGGGGAATCTAAAATGTTCTTTCAATGAGTGAGTATCAAAGTAGGGACTTCGTTTACTTGTCTAGTAAGTTGGCCATTTTCTTCAGGGCAACACCGTAGTGAATGCTCGGATCATCAGAGTACGAAGATAGTTCTTTTTCCAGTTTCTTTAGCTCGCGGTATTCAACTGCAGCCTCTTGCAAGGCATCGGCTTTCTTCTCAGGCCACTTGAAATGCTTAAGCACAGCTCTCTCATCAGCCTGTATGGCATTAACCAAAGAGAAATGCACATGGAATGTAAGTTATGTAATGATGCAAAACTCATCAAATCAATATAAAGTTTGGAAAAATTATCATTTATATGATTAAGTGATACACTTTCGTCTCAGTACACCAAAAACATGGTAGTGTTCAAAATGTGAAAAATCTAGTCACTTGTGTAAAAAAATGTTGAAAGAGGAATTAGGCGTTACCAGAGTTGCTAGTTCTTTATCAAGCCAATCCACAAATTTCATGACATCTTCCATATCCGAAAAACAAGTGGTCAGAACTTTCTGGATAAGATCATTGATAAAATCCCCCTTTGTCTCTATATCAGCTTTTATCTGTCGAAGAAAATGGAGCTCATCAGTGTCAGATGAGATTGGCCAAGACTCAGGTTAAGACTCAGGTTCAAGTAAACAGAGTCAAGAAAAGAAAATTTGGTTGCTTACAGCGATGAGGTGCGCAGAACGGTTTTGAATTTCTCCGACTATACTGTTGTGAGCACTGTTAACTTGAGATTGATTCCCATTAACAGACTGAGAAAGGTCTCTACTATTATCTTGCTTCTTCAACAACTGAAATAACTGCGAAACTGGAGGAGACTTCTGAGCACGAGCTGCTTTAGCAAGAGGCCTAGGTGGTGGTGGTGGTGGTGGAGGCGGTGGTGTTGGTGGTGCAAAGGGTGAAGAACTTTCATCTCTTTTACCTAAACTGCTAGCTGGAGACACCAAAAACTTCGGCAATGGCGGTGTTGGCTGTAATCTTGAAGGAGGAGGTGATGGTGGTTGTGGAGATGATCTTGTTTTAATGGAGCTTGATGACTCTACTGCTACCTCCTTTTTAACCTTGGATTGCTCTAATTTGCTAGCTATTAACCTCTGGATATCTTTGAATCTGGTGTTCTGATGTTCTTTAGCTGGCTGAATCAACCAAAAACACTTGAGAGATTAGAACCTTATCATAATCCTAAACTATGTGCAGAAGCAGAATCAAAGAAACAACCAAAAGCAATCCTAATTCCGTAGTCTCACTAAGTCAATTCAACAGATGTTTACCTTGTCGTTAGAGGAAAGTGATGAGATCTTAGCTTCAGCTGAAGCAAGATCCTGAGAAAGCTTCTTGTTCTTCAACTCAAGCTCTGCATTTGAATTACGAGCTTCCTCTAACTCCGTTTTCAAATTCAAAACCTGCAACTGCAAATCCTTAATCAACGACTCATTCACTACCAGCTTCTCTTCCAATTCCTCCATTCTCTTCCTCTTCTCATCCTCCGCCACCACCGCCGTAGCCATTACTGACTCTTCAGTTTTCCTAGAAATTGGCCGCCTCGGACAACCGAATTGCTCTACGACCGCCGGACGATTCACAGACCGAGCTCTCTGAGGAGCCAAAACCGCCGTCTCCTCCTCTCCGTATTTCGCTCTTTTAAGCAGAATCGATCGCCGGTTCTTCGCCGGATCGTTCTTCACATCGTGACCGGACGATTTCGGTTTACCTCCGGTGAGACCGTTATCGTCTTGAGCTCTAGGTTTAGAGATCACTGAATAGTGCGAATTCGCAGCTCTAACACGAGAAGGAGTAGTGGAGGCGGTGGAAATGCGGGACATAACTAACAAAATCTCCGCCTTATACGGCGGTCACCGGCGAGACGACTCGTCGCTAAAGTCTTACTCAGTTTTGACTCGTAAAAATCCAAGAGACGACTTCGAAGCTGTCGCACAAGAAAACAACAGCTATAATATTAATCACCAATCATTAATTCAATACTCTTATGCAACTAATCCTTAAGAATTTAGTTAATTAACGTAAATACTTACTACTAATCAAGCAAATAACGGAGGAATGATCCGTTTGGAGGAACAGTGGGCTTGAGGCCCACCAATTGTTTTGACGACTTTGAGAATAAGACAAAAGAATTAAGTGGTGGGCCAATTTTGTTTTTTGTTTTTTGTCTTTTTTTTTTTCAGATGACGACGGTCCGTCCACGCGCCATCAGAAACCTAACACATAAAAAGTAGACAATGTCGTGTGTATCGATTAGCTTATAGCCTTATAGGTGTATGCGTGTAACTGCAACCAACAAAAAAAAATGATTTTCTTTTGA